ACCCCTCCACGCTTTATACCTCTCTCAAACCGTGGATTCCGCGACAATGGCGAGCGTGCGGTGCAGGTGAAGATGTGCCATATATCCGCAGTTTCCGTCAAAACAGGGGCAATTTCAGAAACCGCGGGCCAGACTACTTGTACAAGGAAGGACCCTATGAGTCGCTTGAGCCGGGAGTCGCTTCTGACCTGTGGCTTGAAGGTAATGTAAAGCGTTCTCAAATCATCTTACCTAGATGATGACTGAATAAATAATGGTAATGATGTGACTCACCCAAATGTGTTACCATATTCTGCGATCCACTTCTCATCCATTGTGTGCAAGCCATTTTCGTATTCGGTAGTGTTTCCTGTGAAGATGTTGGGCTTTGGACCAGGTATACCCTGCCGGACCCAATAAGATTTTCCGTGTGCTAGATGGCTGAAAGTTGTCAATTCATGATTTTAGCTGTCTACATGGCCGTGTGTAAGTTTTCTGCAAACAAAGTGTAGGAAGTAAGAAAATATGTGATATATGGAAGCTTCGCATGTTTTGTCCCTCATCGCAACAGCAAGAAGTCTGTACAGCCGTAAATGTCCAGATATAAGGCGCATTAATTTGCAAGGCCGCGAGAAGTTTGGCTTCTTCTAGTATTTTTTGCATAATGTAATTATGATTGCAGCATTCAACTAAATCACTATAATAGAACATGGACCCACAAAAAATACTTTTCAGAGCGAAGCTGCGCCCTCTACACGGGTGCACCTTGAGCCTTATCGTTAGACAACAGAAAGTGTAGTGACTCTTCCGCTCTCTAAGTTTTTCAGTCGCCGTCTGTAGCATATGCTCGTCGCTGTTGAAACATGAGCGGATCATTTCTGGCGGAGCTAATGACGAGGGACCCTTTTTTGTGATCCACAGAATCCGCCCTTGGTAAATGGCTGGAAAATTAGCATAGGTGATCGTCATAAGCAACATTTCTGAAGCTTTTCAGGACTTTTGATTTTTTTACAAAGGGACCTATTTTTGTGCTGCAGAATTTGTTAATGTGGTAGTTTTCGGACTTCTCAAGTTTTATAGAGGGTGATGGCTGGAAGGCGTAAGGATCAGAACGACTACAGAGGATATCCTCGCAATCAGTAGGGACAATCAATGTCAGGATGACTGGGGGAGAAATGAGCCCGCAACCGGCTGCCTTCCTGTACCAATAGACCTCGGTTACTGAACGGTTCGGAAAGAAAACAAGTAGTGACAAAAACGCCGCGGGTGAGCTTATCATAGCCCGCTTTACAACATCGACTTAAGCAACTGTACATGCAAATACACAAGAAATTTTGTAAATTTGGAAATAAATAAAAAAGAAGTAGAAATTCGAAACACACATTTTAGCACACACAGAAACGTCATGCCGTTGACGCAACCTTGAAATAACTCAGTGTTCGGTTTGGCACTATTCAATTGTTACTACCCTAATCTTCAGAAATCAAGCCACCTATTTCTTTTCCATGGGATCAGATTTGGCTGAAACTTAGTTTCCAGGAATAGTTCGACCTACTGAACATGAATGTTATGAATATTGGCCTGAAACTGCCTGACGCCAGCGCCACAGGCGCCGGCGCTAAAAAACCTTACTCACCAGTTTCATCGAAAACTTGTCCCTAGAGGTAGTTTGATCTCCTGAACATGAGTATCACACTAGCTTTGCCCGAAATCGCGTGACATCCGCACCAAGGCGCCGGCTCCAAATTACTCTTGATGAAAACTTGCATGCGGGGGTTATTTGGCAACCTGATAACGAATGTGCCTTCCATTCTTGGCTCTGACGCTAATGGAAGACACCGTACTCTGCCAAGGTTGAGCCTGATCTGAAAGGAAGCACTTATTCTCCAAAGCTCAGCTTTAGCAGGAGCTGGAGCTGAGCTTTGGAGAACAAGAGGAAGCTAAATGGCGCTCTTAAAAATGAATGCCATGTTCATGAGGATATCAAAGGACCTCATCATGCTAATTTTCAACGATTTTGGTTGGGTGAAAAAGAGCTGTATCGCCAAGACACGCCAGTCATGGCACCATTTGACGCTTAATAGCATGGAATAATGGCGCCTATTCATTTTACACCAATTTTGCTGAGAAAGAGGGTGGCAAAAATGGCGCTAAATTGGTGCCTCTTGATTGCTAATTGTAAGTGGTAATCTCGGTTTTTACAGAAAATTCTCGACCCGGTATCTCTACCGTTTAGCTGATTGCTTTTCGATATATTAGCTTTTTATTGAAAGCGAGCTGCTATTGTTTTTTTTCATTGTTTTCCGCCATGTAAGTGTAAACTAATGTCTAACCTTACCTAATAATTAGTCCGGCTATCAAGAGAAGAAAACAGGAGGCGACCAACAGCGAATAGAGTCTGGTGATCGCATAGAATAGCAAAACTATGAGAATTCCAGTTTCTCCTAAGCCGATCATATAGTTTCTATGAATAGGGGTATGACGAGACATCTATGGATAAATTGGCTTCAATTTCGCGAGCAGTCGTAATCAGTCATCACAATATTTGACCGTCATCCGGTTTCGGTCAGCAAAACATGACAGCGACAGCTTATTGCATAGTCTTGCCGAGATTTTCAATGTTGCGGTGCTGCGCTGTGGTGGACTGTGTAGTGGGCACGACACTGTTGAATAAAGAAAATCTTGAGAGAATGAGGGGATAGTCGTTGTGAAAACCAAGTGGACGACTTTGCCTTCGATTCAGACGAACCACAGTTTGTCGTTGGCCTTCGAGCTTCTTAAAGGCAGTTGGCACGATAATCCCTAAAGACGAGTAGGATTAATACGCCTGGCAGGACGGAATTCCGCGCCCCTGAGAAGGCGCTGCGCAGCGCCCTTTCCAAGGAAGGTACCCTTATAAGGGCCCTATCAAGCTACAACATACCGACCCGAACGCCCACCACGCCCGCCCGCCCACAAATGGACGACCGTTCCTGATGCTCGTATTGCTTCATTTGCTAAGTAATTATGAAGCGAAGGGTATGAAGCGGCCGTGATGCTGCATGTATATATGAGTACGCACATGCGTATCTTCGGTAGCGGTTATTGGCAAGATGCCTACGGGAAACTCGTCCGAAATCGATTTTCAAGTCATTGAGAACGAAGGCTTTTCTTCGCAGGATTTTGACCGTTTCACTCCGTTCTTTCGCCATTTTCCCCACTATATAGCGCCCTGCTAGCATTTTAGGCCGAGTGCCAAATTAACGTGCCAACTGCCAAGAGGAAGGGGCCAAGAGTTTCAATGTGGAGATATTGTCTACTAAAAAAGGGTTAATAAGCAAAATAGAATAATTAAAGTGGAACAGGAAACATAAAGCAGTTACTGCAGTGAGTGCAAGCAAGTGGAAGGTAATCAGGTGAAGAACTCTTCGGAGTAGTCCACAGGTATATTCGGCGTCAGCGAAGCTTAAAGTTGTAAGTGAAACATAGTTACTACAATAGTTGGCAATGTTATATGTTCATTCAAGAGCATGAGACAGATCGCAGATAGGTTTTCGTATAGTATCATTTCTCATTTCCACATTTTCATTATTTCAGTAACCATTCAGCATCAGTAATGAAAAGCATAAAAAGGTGTTTCTTAGCACTCTTCACCCGTTAGTTCCCAAGCCTTCCAAAATAGGACCATTTTTCCATTCCTTACCGACTTTTTTCTGCGAGATAAACCTGGCTGCAAATACATTTCCAGGAGTGGCTCGACTTTCTGAGCCCACGTACAACATTCGCTTGGCCTAAAACCGCCTGGCGCTCACGCTACAGACGCCTGTGCGGAATCAGCCTAAATCATCAAATTAATTGAAAATCTGGGCACTCACCATTGAACTATTCCTACCCCAAAAACTCAGAGAAAAAATTTTCGCTGAAACGTCTATAGGTGTAATTCGATGCGCTGATCACGAATATCACATCCGTTTCGAGCGCTGGCGTCATTTGGCGCCATTATGCGCCAATTTGGCGCCCACCACTTTTTTCACCAAAGTTGATGAAAACTTGCATATGGGGGTTAATTGACATCCTGATTACGAATATCACACTGGTTTCAAGCGCTGGCGCCATTTGGCGCCATTATGCGCCAATATGGCGCCAAATTGGCGCGTAATGGCGCCAAATGACGCCAGCGCTCGAAACGGATGTTATATTCGTGATCAGCGCATCGAATTACATCTATAGGCAACGTTTCAGCGAAAAAATTTTTTTGAGTTTTTTGGGGTAGGAATAGTTCAATAGTGCCAAAATCTGCCGCTTGGCGTAGCTGACCTTCCTAACACGAATATAACATCTGCATGGGATTATATAAACCTTGATGGAGGAAGGAGAGTGACAGCGCGGCCTGCTGCGCTTGTCTGCGCCCTCTCCTCTTAATAGTGATCCCTTTGAGCTTCTACTAAGAGAAGGATCACTCTCGCAGGCAACCAGAAGGGGAACTGCCTCAAAGGCCGTGTTTCTCTGACAGCCCTAGCGCACCGCTCAGCACGAAACAGCCAGGAGCCGCGCTACATGCACCGGATTGAATAAGCATGTAGTGCTGTCGCCTGTAACGCGGGCGGTTAGCGATTTCGTGCTGAGAATGTGATTTTCCTGTTCAGGAGGTCAATTTACCCCTGCGGCCAAGTCACAGTCACGAACATTGTTTCCGCTTTTCAAAGTACTAATGTTGATTCAGAATACTATATAGGATATTTTATACATACAGGGGGGGGGGCAAAAAAAAGTCATTCCGGCCGAGTCACATATGAGCGAAGTTTTCGCAGCCCAGACAGAGGAAGTGGATATGAGTACCAGGGCGGAAGATACCCAAGATCTTCCTCTATAAGCAGGAGCCGGCTGCCGCCATTCACCTTCATGTACACCAAAATATGAAGTCATCTCCAGTCGCGGCCTGAGTGGAGAACGCCTTTGGAATTCACGTGGCCTCCAAACAGCTGCGGAACTTCTTGAATGGAATCACCCATGGATAGCTACCTGGAGACCAGTACTCTTGATCTGCAACGTCGCTACGGTCCAGGACATCATCTTCACCCCATTCACCAAGGCGCGGGTTGATGGTGTGGACCGGCCGTACCTGGAATGGATGAACCGATATTTTCTTCGTGGGCCCCAGACTGAGGGTGTGCGCTGGTGGCTACATCGAGCAACTCGAGGAGAATATCCCATCTTCATGTCGTCGCCCGTACCTTCTTGGAAACTTTGTACTGCTACAGGATTGGGTGACAACACATTTAATCGAAGGGCGTTGGAAAAACTTTCGCCTACTTGGAATGGAAGAACGTTGAGTACCTGGAAAAGATGGAGTATTTAAGCGGGGGTCCTGAACTAAACCCCCTCAATTACTCGGTTCGGAGCTCAACAGGGTGGTCTACAGTGGCGGAGAAATCAACGATCTCGCTCAACTCCGGTACCCACTCACTTTCGCGCGGCCGAATCTCTCGATGGCGCTCCTCCAGAAGGCTGTGGCGGAGTATCATTATAGTATTTAATGTGCTCTTTAATATGGTAGTAAAAATGTCCGATAAAAATTTAATAAAGTGTAACTTATAGCGCCTTGAAAGTCATGGAGGCAAAATGACTTTTTTTTGGCCCCCCCCCCTGTACATACATCAGAAAAGATATTAGGTTGGAAGGAGAGTCCTGTCAGTGTTTTTTGAAAAGCCTACACTTTTCGGTTCTTGATGCCCGAACATGGCATAACATGCCATGTTTGTACATTCACAGAACATTCTGGGAGCTTTCCTGCAAGAGATGTGTGAGGGCGCCTGCTCTTCCCTGGGTTAATTACGATGTCAGTTTCACAGGAGCATCTTCGGGTCATCATGTTCTATCAGTGGCCCGCGGCACTGGAGCAGCGGCAGCTGTCCGCAACATCAGCAGTGCATTGGCGGAGGACACCACTACCATCATGACTGTTCATCTTTGGTTCGCTCGCTTCGCTAAAGGAGATGGGACAGCCCCACGAAGTGGAAGACTCCACCATTCTCGAAGCTGTCAAGGAGGATTCGGAGGTTACCACCAGTCTTGCGACAAGACTCGGATGTACCTAACTGACAGTCGTCAACCGCCTGTAAGCCCTTGACTACCGAAAAGTACTGGCTCGATGGATCACTCATACCTTGACCGATGGCACGCTGCGCACCCGGGTACCCCTTGGTCAGTCTCCCCTTCTCCGCCCTCGTCAAAAGGTGTTTCTGGGAGACTGCTTAGTGGAGATGAGAGGGTCCTCTGTGATTTCAATCCACACAGTACCGTGTGTCTCTCTCAAGGAGAAGATCCATTCTAGCAGTCCAAACCGGGCATGTATTCCGAGAAGGTTCTCCTGTGCTGCTCCTGGGACGAAAGGAGGATGCTGCAGAACGAGCTCTGCAGCACCCTCCTTGCGTCCCACGAGCTGCCCTGTAAGAATACACGATCACCGCTACCATTTATGTCGCTCAGCTCCTGAAACCGGTGGAAGCTGTTGGAGAAAAATGACCGAAACTAGCTTCGGAGCAGAGTAGTTCGTGAGACCCCATACCTGCTATGGAGACCTACCAAATAATTGAGGAGCAAGGCTGGAGACCAATTCCCGCTCATCGTTCTCCTGACGTAGTCCCCTACGACTGCTACCTGCTCCCACCTTCTTGAGGCCTTCTTACTATGAAAACTTTCAGCAACTTTGATGACTTAGTCGAGAGGCCTCTAACTTAGTCTACTCGCAACCTCAGTTCCGGGAGAGGGGGAATCTTACCTGCCCATTAGGATGGAGCACTGTAGTGGCTAACTATGACGAGTATATTGTTGACTAATTCCCACTGTATGTTGAGTTAGAAAATAAAAAGAAAATCACAACAGTGACAAGACTTTCCTTACAACCTATTATAGTTTCTTTGGTTTGTAGTGTTGCATATCCTCAAGGTTTACGTTTACCACATTTGCTACATTTCTCGTTATTAAGACTTTTAAATAAACCTCTATTAACCTCACCCATTACGTTGCCGACGGTAACTATGTACTTTACTAACTCTGTATGTGTACGGTAACTTACAGGTGTATTCTTTTTTGACCATCTAAACGTAAAAGCGGTCCTTCACGTAGAGAGGAATGTCTCTGGAGCTTTGGCAAAGTTGTTGCCCATGGGTTGGTACTCAACGCTTGTAACACACGAGAACTCCTTTACTATAGATACATTCGCCTGTTTTATTTTAAACGTTCAGTGTGTCTTAAAGGCACGGCCCGGGACCACATATGGGGACTGAGGGATCTAAAATACTATTTGGAACGCAGGAAATTACTCATTAAGAAAGAAAAAGCGAAGAAAAATAGTGGGGAATGCCCTTTATGGGGCTCTTTTCCAAACCGGGGCTGGACGAGCAAAGAACGACGAAGGGGCGGGGTCCGGACGAGTTTTTCGCGCGCTGCTGAAATGGTGGCCGGTTGCCAACAGCTGATCGATAGCGTTGGCGTTATTTTCAATTACA